TTCATGTCCACCAAATAGGTAAGCACTGTGAATAAAGTGCTCACACAGCACAGGATGGACCAGATACCAACCCAGAGACGACCAAATTTCACCTCATCTTCTCGGAAATACATGATGCCCATAGGTTTGTTTGGCTCACATGGTGCCCCACAGTCTTCGACTCCCATGAAACGGTATCCCAAATAAACTGGCACCTCCAGCTGCAGGGGGCAGGAGAACTGGCGCTGCGGGTTGTACGGCGGCGGGCGTGGGTTCGGTCGACCATTGTTTGGGGGGAGGGTCACTGGCTCTGGTGCGTAGGGGGAAGACGATGAGGACGGGCTGCCGGGTTCGGATGTGTTCTGGCCCACGCATATTTCACCGGCTCCGTGGACCGGGAAAGCCTCGCAGCGAAGTCGCTCCGGCCACTGGAAACCGAATTTGTTCATTAGAGCTTCACAGCCCTGTCGTGCCCGCTCACACAGGGATCGACAGGGAGGGATGGCCTGTTCCAACACGGTGCAAACAGGCGCATACATTGAGCAGAGGAAGAACTTTAGATCCGCTGAGCACTGAACCTTGACCAGTGGATAGAACTGGTGCACTTCCAGCCCGGCGTCCTCTTGGTTCGTGTGTCCCAGGAGATTCGGCATGATGGTCTGATTATAGGCGATGTCGGTGCAAAGCGGAATGGAGATAGGCTGACAAAAGCCGTGTTCTGGGATGGATATTCCACTTTCACTGTTGTAATGTTGAGCTGCTGAGAAGCAGAGTCCGTAAAACAGCCACATGATCCGCTGCAGAACGGAGCCCGTGGTGGACCTGGCCGCCGCCATAGTAGAGGAGGAGGGGGGAGGGAAAGAAAAACTTTGATCCGAGTAAAGCGAGTTGAAAAACGGCTCAAAATCCACTGAAATCTCCAGCAAATGTCCAAATACGTTACTCCCTGTTCAGTTTTTACAGCTTGAAATAGTAACGATCGACCTTGTTCCGTCTTTTATGAAGAAAATATCAAATGAAATCTTCGTGTCGTGTCATGACTTCTTCATGGTCTTTGTAAGTGACTCCAAGTAGTCCACTCTTACTTCCATTCCGCTGAAAGTCACGTTTCCTCAAAAGAACGTTGATTCAAATTACTCCAGTGCTGTCGGCGTTATTTTGTTGCCACTTATGCGCAAAACAAGAGTTCTTTAACAAACAAAAAGACTAATATTTCTGTCAAGGTTTTTTTTTTCGTCTTGACTGTGCGGCGCCTCAGCTTACATGCAGAGCAGTTGGAAGTCCAGGGGCTCGTTCTCCGCACTCTCCGTGCAGATTCCACCGGTTTCCAGGCGCCCGTTCCATACGCATCCCCGCTTCCCCCGACAGAACGCAGGGCGCCTTGAAACCGACGGTGCGTCTCAACCAATCGCAGCGTTTGTTTTCCTGCAGGACTTGTTCTTGATTGGTCTTTACTGCTCATCGAAGGAAAATATGCCGATGTAATGACATTAGGGCAGAAGTTTTATTAACGCAGTCATTTTCTCTGTTTGGTCGCATTTGTTACCTTTGACCCTGATTTATAATATATGTTCACATAGAGCTTGTTTAACGTCTCTGTCTAGGAGATATATTCAATTCACAGACACGCACACATATACGTGTATATGTGTGTATTTGAATATATTTTTACAGTCAAGTTTCTTGAAATATACATTTCACTGATATTTTAATGTGTACAATTCAGTGTGTTACTTCAACTGTTTCCTCTTCTTCATTCCCAGAGAATGAAGAGAGAAGAATTTATTTTTATGACTCTACAGCAGTTGTCTTTAACGTGGTCAACAACTCCTGCGGGATCTGAGGTACTGCAGTGTTTTTGAAATATCTGGTTGATTTTTTGCATAATGCTTACAATAAAACTATCTAAACCTTTGTTTGATGTAAAAATAAAGACCTAGTGTCAGTACCTACAATTGGACACAAATGTACACGTTGGTACCATTGCGTGTTCCATCACACAACTAACTTAAAAACCGGTTGGTCTGGTTGTTGGACAGAGACACTTTAATCTGTTTTCAATAAAAATGGTATGATTTTTCAGTACATTCTCCTTTTTTATTTATTTATTTTTTTACTCCTGGTCTGGTTGTCACCAGACTGCCCACAACTATGGCTTGTGGATAAAAAAATGTGCAATACTCTCTTTCTGTTAACCTGTGTCTCTCTCTATCTCCATCTCCTACACCCACCCATCTCATACTCTCAGAACTGGAGTATTTGTAAAATACAACTTATGCTGCTTATTATTTATCACTTGTCTCCAACATTGTCCTGTCCTGCTGGTCAATACTTTTCCCATATACAATCCACTTTCTTTTGACAATAATGTCTTACCATTGATGTACAGTGTTTTCTTTATATTTTATTCTTTGGCTTTATACTTTATATTTTAATTATTTTTTATATTTCCTACCTCTATTTTTTAACAAAATGTTTGTGTAGAATTGTTGACTGTGAGCCCACACAAGATTTCCAATGTGCAAAGACTGTGGGTTTATGCACAAATGGCAAATAAAAACCTTGAACCTTGAACATTTTTAGTTGGTGGTGACAGGAAACGTTGGTTTTATCTGCCTTTTGGATGGAGTTTGTTCTGGATCAATAACTGTTTTATTTGAAATACTAGATTTTCTCAACAGACTTAAATGTAAGAAATGATAGGTTAGACTGAGACTAGCTAACAACAGAGGGAAGTGACAA